GATTCGCAAACGGATCCGTTTGGTCATGATTCGCAATCGGATCGGATACGGAGCTCGCGAACGGACAGAATACGGATCAATCCGAATAATGTACTGCTATTTACTAAAAACGGTTCGCGCAACCGCGCGCGAACGCGGAGCGACCGTACCGGATTGTTCGCGAATCACCTGTGAGGAAACGTTTGAAAATTATAGCTGTTTTCTTCAAAAAATAAAGATGTGGTTATTTTTCGACGGCTTCAAAAAGCGGCTCGCATTTGATAGATTGATAAAAAAATTTCAGAGTATACTAACCAAAAACAGAGCTTTAATTTTGTAGTTGACACTTTTTTTGTGAAATTTAAGACTGAAGAGATATGCCACGTGGAAGAAGGGGATCCTCAGAAGGCGCGTCGGCGCACTAGCGGTGGTGGGCCCGAAGGAACTCACACTTCCACGTTTCATATCTCTTTTAGGTCAAATTTCACAAAAAAGTTGTCAACTACAAAATTGAAGCTCTATCTTTGTTTAGTAGACTCTGAAATTTTCAGACAAATTCAAAGAAATTGGACCACTTTTGTAGGGCTTCAAAGTTGGCGATTTTCAGCTAAAAATAGTTAAAATCAAAAAGATACTGTATCTCAAAAACGAGAATAGCTATCATAAAACGGTTAACTAGAAAAATGAAGCTCATAAAATTTTCTACAATTAACTCTTGTTTTTAAAGTTTTTTGACACAATTTTTTGTATTTTCAGGAAGTGCTAAACTCCCAAGAGCTACTTGGTGACGAGTTGGAAATGTTTGCCAAAAAGGAAACCCAAAAAGAAGTGGTGGTCCCGAAAAAAGCCGGTGAACCCCTGGGAATTGTTGTCGTGGAGTCTGGATGGGGGTCCATGCTACCTACCGTAGTCCTTGCACACATGAATCCCATCGGACCGGCCGCCCACTCGAATAAATTGAATATTGGAGATCAAATCATCAATATCAATGGAATCTCGCTCGTTGGATTGCCATTATCAGCTGCTCAGACGCAAATCAAGAATATGAAAACTGCGACGGCGGTCCGGATGACGGTAGTGTCTACGCCGCCCGTGGTGGAGGTTAGGATACGACGACCGGATACCAAATACCAGTTGGGATTCTCTGTGCAAAACGGTGTCATTTGCTCTTTATTGAGAGGTAAGGAAACTTTGAAATTTTTAAATTTGAATTTGGCGCGCTAAGAGCTTCAAAATAAGTATAAACACACCTAGACTTATAAAATTGGGTCCCACCGCGAAAACTACAATAATCCTCAAACTTTTTGGAAAGTAGCTATTTGAAAAATACTCATTTTGAAGCTCGTAACAAGCGAAATCTGAAAAAATTAATTTTCTTCAAACTGTGCCAAAAATTACTGAGATATTTTGAAAATTTGAATTTTTCACAAATTTCAAAATGAAATAGATCATAACTCGCTTGGTTTTGACTCAATTTGAGTAAAACTTTTTTTGTTCAATTTTGTTCATTGTGAACTTCAAAATGAGTATAAACACGCCTGAAATTACAAAATTGGGTCCCACCACGAAAACTACAGTAATCCTCAAAATCTTCTAAAACTAGTCGTGTTTATACTCATCTTGAAGCGCCTGGCAAGGCAAATTCAAAAATATATGTTTCAAACAACTCAGATCCAAATTTAATGAGTTGTGATCTTAGCAAAGTTAAGAAAACGTTGCCTTTAACTTACGGATTACTGTAATTAATTACTGTACAAAGTCTTAATCAAACATTTTAGGCGGTATCGCTGAACGCGGAGGAATTCGCGTCGGACACCGAATCATCGAAATCAACGGCACGTCGGTGGTAGCGGTGGCACATGATAGGTGAGGCTAAAAAATCGATAATTCTGAAAAATCGATAATTTTTCAGAATTGTGAATATGCTCGCCACGGCGGTTGGAGAAATTCATATGAAGACGATGCCGACGTCAATGTTCCGATTGTTAACGGGTCAAGAACAACCACAGTACATTTGAGAAAATCGATTATCGATTTTTTTTCTTTTTTTCTTTTTTTCTCTCTTCCCTCTCCCAACACCGCACTTTCTCTGTGATAATCATGTTTTCTTTCTTTCTTCTTTTTCTCTTTTTTTTAAAGTGAAAATGCGCTCTATTGAGGGTTTTGAAATTCTCAAAAGAGCGCATTTTCTTCTTGAATTTCAGTTTCTAGGTGATTCTCTGCGAGTCCACATTGCCATGTTTTTTTGCTCTTTTTTTCGAAATTTTCAGTTTTTCCAAAAAAAATTCATTCATTTTTTTTCAATTGGTCACAATCGGGATTTCTCTTTCTTTTTTCGTCTTTTTCTCAATTTTTTTTGAATCTTCGGTAATTTAATAAAATAGATTTTTTTTTCAAAAAATTGGTTTAAACATTTTCAAAATTTAAGAATCCTGAGAATCCTATGAATCCAAAGAATCCAAAGAATACTGAGAATCCTAGTAATAGTGGGATCCCTAACTTTGATCCAGTTTATCTCGGGTCCTCTGAAAGATATCAAAAAGTGGTTAACTGATAAAATGTTTATCATAATATCAGCAATATTTCATCAGTTGATCACTTTTTGATATATTGTACAGTAACCGAGATAATTAGGTTCAGAAGAAGCAATCTTCTTAAGGAGATTCGCACCTTTCAAAAGTGAAAATTCAATAATTATTCAAAGTTGATTTTAAAAAATTCGAAAAATTAAGAATATCGAATTTCAACAAAACGAAAACGACTACGTGATTTTTTTTTTCAGAAACCCACGACCCTAGATGCCCCATTGACCTCAGGAGGAATACTATAAAAAAAGAGGAAAGTGTAGGGAAGAATCAGTTCTCCCTGCTCTGGGCTCCAGAGGAGGTGACCCGCGGGATCCGGGAACCAGACCCAAGGGGTCCTGGGGTCAGTCGGCGGCTACAATCTTCTGGCTAGACTATGTAAAATCTAGGTCGTGACCCAAAAAATCTAGGTCATGTTCCGAAAAATCTAGGTCACGACCCAAAAAATCTAGGTCACGACCCAAAAAAATCTAGATCAGGACCCAAAAAAATCTAGGTTACACCCAGGACCCAGGTCCCGGTTCCCGGCCACAAGACCCCAGCATCCCCCGGCTCCCCCTCTCTGGATCCCAAAAAAGGGAGAACTGATTGTTTTCCCCGCTTCCCTCTTCCTTTATAGCACTCTTTCCAAGGTCAATGGCCTAGGGTCAAGGATTTTTGAATTCTTTTGAAAATTGGTTTTTGATCACGTTTAAAAAATTATTGAATTTCCACTTTTGAAATCTGTGAAACTCCTTCCAAAAGGTCGCTCCTTTGAGCCCAATTATCTTGATTCCTGTGAGAGATATCGAAAATTTGTCAACTAATAAAATGTTGGTGATATTATGTTAAACGTTTTATCAGTTGACAGGTTTTTGATATGTTTTGAATGAGCCGAGATAATCAAGCTCAAAGCGCATACATTCTTTTAGAGTATAAGTTACCGTAACTTCTCTAATGGAATTTCGTGCCCAATTATCTCGATTCCTGTTAGAGATACCACAAAGTAGTGAACTGATAAAAGGTATTTCATAGTATCGCCAACATTTTATCAGTTGCCAGATGTTTGATTTCGTTTCTCGAAACTGAGATATTCAAGCTCAAAATGGAGGCTGCAAGGTGTGAAGCTCCTTTAAAAGATTGCTTCTTTTGAACCTAATTATCTCGGTTACTGTAAAAGATATCAAAAAGTAGTCAACTGATAAAATGATGTTTATTATGATAAACATTTTATTAGTTTACTACTTTTTGATATTTTTCACAGGAGCCGAGATAAACTGGCTCAAAGTTAGGAACCCTAATATGACGGGTTTTCTTAAAATTTGGTATCATCTGAAAATGGCAATTTTTTGATGTAAAAAAAATCAAAATTTCAAAAAAAAATGACATTTTTCTTAAAATCAGAACCTCAGAATTCCAGAATTTTCAAAAATTAGATTTTTCAGATTTTCGATTTTTTTTTTAGAATTTCAGAATTCTCTATAAAATTGAAATTTTCGATTTTGCGAACAATTTTTGAATTATTCGGCATTATTTTTCTAGATTTTTGGGGTTCGGAGACTTTTTAGAATTTCTCAGAAATCTTAAAATCTCAGAATTTTTAATTTTCGATCGATTTTCTTAAATACCAATTATCAATTAAACGAATTTCATTTTGATGAGCACACAGCGAGAGAAAAGAGCAAGAGACGAAAATATTTAGAAAAGAGACACAGAGGGGGGGGGGGGGAATTTTCCGGGAATTGGGAATTTAATAGTTAAGAATAAAAATCGATAAAAAGAGAGGAAAACATGACATATTACTACTTTACAAACACACACATATTTGATGGACGGGGGGCGGAGCTTATTGGGGGGATGTTACAGTAAGAAAAGTGGGGCGGAGCGGAAATTCTAAAAAACCCGTTGTAATAGAAAAAAGTATGAAAAATTATAGGGTAATTAAGGGATTATTTTAATTATAAACGAAAAAAAGAGAAAAATAAAATTTGAAAAAAAATGAAAATGAGAGATTCAGGGTCAAAATTACGATTTTCAGATGATTTTTCAGAGCATTTTCATCACGAAATCTCTCATTTTCGCCACACAAAAAAGGGGGAGACCCGAAGACACACATATGATAAAATGGAATAATCAATCACAATATTAAAATCATTCGAAAAAGAGAATTTAAACCGCCACGACGGTGGTTCTTGGCGGCATAATGCCCATGCTCAAAAACGAGATCGTCTCCTCGGCATTCGGCTCATTGAGGTGCTCAACAGTCATGTGAAATGCCAGCTGGGAGCCTTCGTGCGAGACGTATTCACACAATGGGCACTTGATGATGGAGCCAGATCGTTTGACAATCTCCTCGGGCGTTGGAGCCGCATCGGCGTTCTGAAATTCAAAAAAAAGTTAGGAAATGCTTAGGCTCCGCCCACTATTCCCTGAATTTTTTTGGGCAATTTCAAAGGCTTTTTAGGTTTAAAAAAATGCATTTTTTTCTGCTGAAAATTGCTGAAAATTTATTCTGAAATCTAAAAAAATATAAGCGTTTAGGCTCCGCCCACTTTTACCAAAACTTTTTCGGGCAATTGTAAAGGCGTTTTTAGTTCAAAAAATGCATTTTTTCGGCTGAAAATTGTCACCTCGCGGGTTCAAAATTAGCAAAAAGAGTCTCTAATTTTCACTGTCAAAAATATTCTGAAAAGCAACAAAATGAATTTCTGAGCATTTAGGCTCCGCCCACTTTCAGATTCTCGACACATAATTTAAGAGATTTTAAACTATATATCACGGAATCGCACAGTGTGCAAGTGCGCTCCACTGATAGCCAAGAAAAATTCCGCATTTTTAAATTTTTCAGCAGAGCGTATTCGCTTTTTTGAAGGCAATTTTAAGGCTTTTTTCGTCGGAAAAATCTTAAATTTCAGACAATTTCTATGAGTTGAAAATTCTCAATTTCCACAGGCGCCAAAAAGTTCACCTTTTCAAGCCTTCAGACGTTTATTGTCTGTGTGTCCTACCTCCGGATTCTGAATGTGTCCGTGCTCGATGCGAATCTTCGTCGCTTGAATAATGCCGCGAAGCGTTTGATCCTTGACCGAGTGATGGTGCATTTGGTGGAAGTCGACGACCGACTTGCACGCGTCCGAATAGTCGCAAATCTTGCATTTGTACAGTTGATTCCATCCGTGACGATCCAAATGCTCGATGAAGACGCTCTGAGTGACACACTTGAACGTGCACTTTTTGCAGTGCTTCGCATTCTTCGCCACCATCAAATGCTTCATTTTCGGCCGTTGATACTCGGCTTTCGGCGGTTGTCGCTTCATCGAGACGCGAATTCGATTGATCAAATGAACGCGATGAATCGCCGTGTGCTCTTTCAGCTTGTGCTCCGTGGTCGTCTTGAACGAGCAACTCGTACAGCTGTACCCTTTCACACCGTGCGGAATAGTGTCTCCCTTCCGTTGATGCTTCTGAAGACGTGGATTCTTCGCGTGCCGCATGTCCTCGTCATTTCCGTCGTTGTGCACTTTCAAGTGTTGAATTAGAGCCGTTGGCGTGATCGTGTTAAATGTGCACTCCGAGCAAACGAATGGGCGTGTCGGTCCGTTCGGCGAGTGGAAGAATCGGTGGTTTTCGAGAATCTTCGCGTCCGGCGATTCGAATGGACAGTCGGGGCATTTGATTGGTGCTGAAAATGAGAATTCGGGGTTATTTTTCATGTTTGACTCCGCCCCTTTTAGCAACTATGGAGCATAGTTTCATCTATTCTACAATTTCAGAGTGTACTAAAATTAATCTAAAAAAGGCCTTAGAAGTCATTTGGCCTAAAAATTAGACTAAACCGCCAAAAACTGATCAGGTACAGCCAAAATTGGACCGAACATCGGTCTAGATCGGGCCAGAATGTCTTAAGCTTGGCCTAAAATAGCCTGACATGGCTAAAAATTCTAGGCCGTTACTAGGCCCTCTCTGAAGTCATCAAAAATCCATTCAGGTAAGCCCAGGATGGCTTTAAATAGGCCTAAAATATCCTAAATTTGGCCCGAAATTCCTCTAAATCGGCTCGAAATGTCTTGGAATTGGCCTTAAAATTTAGTTTATTTCTAGGCCCGAAATTCGGTTTCGTTTCCAAAGTCCAAAATCAGTCTAGAAAAGCCTTGACTAGGTTAATAGTAGGCTTTAAACGGTCTAGAATTGGCCTAAAATTTACGCTGTTTTAGAATCTCAATTTGGTCTCCTAAGCCCAAAATCAATCCATATAGGCCCAAAATGTTTTAAAATAGGCTTAAAACGACTTAAATTTGGCCCAAAATAGCCGAAAAAACTCACCATCAACACCAAATTCGTCTCTGAGCAAATTGCGAATCTTCCAGTGTCCAATATCCATCGGATCCTCGTCCTCCTCCATCGGCTTCACAACGTTCGTCGCTTCTCCATCCTCCTTTCCCTCGTCATCCTCCTCCATCTCAGCCAACCTCATCAGATTCGACGAGCTCGACGACGGCGTCGCCTTTCCAGACCCGTTCTTTGAGAGCAGCGAATAGTTGATCTTATTCCTGGAGACTCGTTCTGAGAGCTGCCGCGTCGGCTCGGGATCCGGCGATGGTTCAACCGACGTACGACGTCTTTTTTGAGCTGGAGAGTTGTAGATTCTGAACTCCTTATCCTCATTCTTAACCTTGTTATATCTTGATGGTCGTTTGGAGGAGGATCTTGGCACTTCATCCTCGTCATCCTCTTCATCTTCATCTTCCAACGATTCTGGATCCTCTTCTGGAACCTTCACCTCTTGCTTCTCTTGCTTCTCCGCCTTCTCCAACTTCCTCTTCTGCACCTTTCTCTCCCCAGCCTTGTTATCCGGCCCCCCGTTCAAATCAGTTAGCGACGATACCGGCCGCCCATGATGGTCCACTCGCTTCACAAATGGAATCTGTTCCGTTGAGCCACCCATAGCCAGATGGACCAGAATGTGCTCCTCGATTTTCTTGGTATCCAGCGAGCTATACGTGCAGTTCGAGCAGATGCTGTGCTTCGGCACACGACGATGATAGCGAGCATGACGCCAGAGGCATCCAATGGATACTGTGGTGTAAGGGCAACGAGAGCAGTTGTAGATGCGGTCCTTGCCGAATCCACGACGCGTTCCAATTGGGATTCCTTGATTGACAACGATAGGATGGGTTGCTCCTGATCCATTAGCCAACGAGTTGTTAACCACTAGATGCTGTTTCATATGATCCTTAAGACTAACAGGACGGTTGGTGGTGTATGTGCATTGAACACATCTAAACGATTGCTCTATATCGTGTCGCTTCTTATGACTTCTCATATCACCACGATACTTCGATGTGTACGGACAATCAGTGCACGCGAATCCTTTAATCGAGTCAATCATTTTGCGAGTGAACGGCTCGCCGAGCTCCGGTCGCTTCGCCTTCTCCGCCAGACACCATTTATGAATGGATTTGAAGAGATCCGTCTGCTTGAACTCTTCATGTTCCACATGCTTCGCCTTCTCTTCGTCTGTCTTCATCGCGTGCTGCTCGGCCGCCAACTTTGCCGCTTTTTCAGCCAAATCCACGCGATGCATCTCTTCATGCGCCTTCATCACCTCCTCTCCTCGCGCCGTCCATGAGCACATTTTGCATTTGATCGGGTCGTTGGTGAAGTGCTTCGCGTAGTGTCGCTGGCAACGGTTCATCGATGGTGCACGGTAGGGGCAAACGTTGCAGCAGAATTCCACCATTTTCAGTGCGGCAAACTCTTCTGGGGTTAGATTTGCTAGGGCTTCGGGGCGGAAACTGGAAAATTAAGGCTTGTTTAGGCTTGGTTTTTAGGCTGTTTCAGGCCACAATTCTAAACTATTTTAGGCCGTTTTTAGACCATTTTATACTTACTTTCTGACCATTCTAGTCAATTATTGAACTATTTTAGATCATTTCTAGACCATTTTAGACCATTTTCCGAATATTTAGATCATTTCTGGATCATTCTAGATTTTTTTAAAGCCATTCGAGTCTAATCTAGTCCATTTTTGGATCATTCTAGACTATTTTAAGACCATTCTAGATCATTTTTGGGCTATTTCCGACCATTTTCCGAATATTCTAGACTATTTTGAGCCTTTCTAGACTGATCTAAACCATTTTCTGCCTATTTTGGACCATTTTAGATCTTTTTTCTGACCACACTAGACTATTTTTCAATCATTCCAGACCATTTTCGGGTCATTCTAGACCATTTTTCAATCATTCTAGACCATTTTTAGACCATTCTAGTCTAATTTTAGACCATTTTTCAATCATTTCAGACTATTTTCAACCATTTTAGATCATTTTTCGACCATTAGATTGCCTCCAGCTTTATATTTTTTCTAGTCTAGTTTTCAATGATTTTCGACTATTTTAGACCTTTTTTAGCGAGTTCTGAACCATTTTTAGCAGTTTCTAGACCTATTCTCGATCATTTTAGACACTTTTTGGACCATTCTAGCCCATTTTAGAAAACTCTGGACTATTCTAGACCATTTTTGGCTCATTTCGGACCATTTTTGAGCCATTCGAGTCTAATCTAGTCCATTATAGCCCATTCTAGACCATTTTCGAGCATTTTTCGACCATTCTAGATAACTTTTAGCCCATCGAAAAATGACCTTAAGTTTAGGGCCTATTCTAGACCCCTTTTCAACCATTCTACGCCTCTTTTCGACGATTTCTAAACTCACATCGAATCAAACGGCTCATCGTCGACGTCTTCGTCCTGCTGAGCGAAGAACAGCATCTGGCGCATCGTCGGTGCCACGACTGGCACTGAAAATCTCTTTTTTGGTTGTGCTGTGAATTCAGAGGCACTCTTACCGTGAGGAAATTTCATTGGCGCTGTCACAGCCACAGCGTTTGACGATGACGGTTGGGAGTCGTCGAGAACAAGCAACGGAGGAGGAGGTGGAGTCGCACCGATTCCCGTGAAATACTTGATGTAGAACTTATCGCCAATGGCTTCTTTGAGATAGAACGTTCGATGGAATCGATTTGGAGCCGTGAGGTGGTTGGTCATTTTGTGAGCACGAAGAGCACCGAAATTGGTGGTACGGTAGCCGCAAGTGGAGCAAAGGAAACGATGGAATGGGAAGGCCTTTTTCTGAAATGCTGTCGTCTAGAGAAAAGGCCTAAAAAGCCTAAAAGCCTATAACTTACCGCTCCATGCTTATTGGTCTTATGGAAAATCAACTGAGTGATCGACGTCGTCAAAAAATCGCATTCTCCAATGTTGCACTGCTTGTGTGGGACACCGTCAATGATCCGGGTCTTGTGAGATTTGATTTGAGCCTGGAAATAAGGAATTTAAGGATGAGCAATCCTAAAGGTGCTCCTGGAGCTCTAGAATCTTCGTCTAGGCCAAAAGCGGTCTCTAGAGCCCTAAAGAATATAAGGATGAGCAATTCTAGCTGATACTTGTGCTCTAGAATCCAAGTCTTGGCCTGAAAATGCTCTACTAGAGCTCTGGAGCCATCCTGTAGCTGAGAAACTCCTAGACCTTCTTCTAGAGCTCCAGTAGAGCATTTTCAGTTCATTTTCAGACTCGGTCATTCCTCTTACCTTAGCGATCAACCCAACTCTCGCTTTCGACGTCAGTGGAATCAAAGGCATCTTCTCTTCCGGCACGTCTTCTGATTCCTCCTCAACCTTCTCGATTTGAAGCTCCGGCATCTTCTCCGACGCCTTCATCTTATTCAACTTCTTCAACTCCTTCTGCTCCTTCTTCTCCTTCTCCAGACGCTTCTGCTCCGGTGACTTCTTCTCGTACTTCCTCTTCTTTGGCTTCTCCTCCACCTCGAGCTTCGGTGGCGCCTCTTCCTCCTCCATCGTCACGTCTTCAACCGATGTGTCCAGATCCTCCGGCTCTTCACCAGTACTCGGATGATTTGGATCCTCCACCTCTTCAATCGTCACCTTTCCATTCTTTTTATTGATTACTTTCCGACAGAACTTCGGTTGTCCTAGCAAAGGTTTCGAGTGAAGAATGTAGTGCTTAGCAATGAATCCCCTCTTTCGACACATGAAATGACATTCGGGCTCTGGACAAATGTATCCCTCATCTAGAGTGTGTCCACGGAAGTGTCTCTGAAGACGTGTGACCGATGAGCAAGTGTACGGGCATTTGGAGCATGGGACGCCGCGCTTCGATGTCTCCTTCTGAACGACCGGAGGTGTCTGCTTCTGAACTACTGGTGGTGGTGTCACCGACGATGGTGCAGATGTCGTTGGAAGAGATCCACGTGGTGATGGTGTGTCTTCTTGAAGCCTTCCGGAAGCTGTGGTGTCATCCAAAACCGGCGGCAACGCATCCAGAATCGGCAACGTCTTCTGCTGCTGCTTCGTATACTTGCGTGGCTTCTTCTCCTCCAGCTTCTTTTGTGTTGGCTTTGAGGTTCTTCCCGATTTGCGAACTGCAAGATGGTCTGGAGACTCGGAGACCTCTCTCTCCTGATCCACTTCCCTCTGCTCATCTTCCCGCTCCAAAACCGGCGGCCCATCGTCTTCATCCTCCTCGTCTTCTGGATTCTCAGCATCCAGAAGTGGTGCTGCCTCATCACCATCATCATCGTGACCTTCAGGTGCTTCCGGCAGTGGCTCCACAGACAAATCTGGAGCCACCAGAGACGCTGTGGACGTTGACGAGTCCATCGAGGTGTTCTGGGCCTCAGGTGCTGGCGCCGAATCCGAAGAATCTGAAGCCGGAGAGCCGGCAGACGCAGCGTCAGGGGCCGGAATTGCTCCAGCAGTCGTCACTGGTGAAATCTGGGGACTCAGCACACCGAACTGCTTATGAACGTTGTTGTGCCACGTCAGCGATTTCAGTGTTGCGACGAGAAGCAGCACAGCTCACACTTAAACTCCTTCCGCTCTTTGGTGTGCATCTTGGCGTGGTTGGCTAGGCTGGACTTGGATTCGTAGCGCGATGGACACTTGTGACACGCGAATGGACCGCTCATCTGGAATTTCTTTTTTCGGGGTTTTAGACTCCGCCCATTTTTGATGATTTTTGGGTTTCTAGGCCGATCAATCTTGTGGCCTACGAATTCGAAATTTTGGGATTTTTACCGCGTCACAAGCTCAAGCCTTTTCCGGTCTCATGTGGCCTAGAAACCCAAGATTTCTAGGCCACCACAATATAGCCGAAGCTTCAATTTCCTGTGGCCTAGAACTTTGGATTTCTAGGCGGCCTAGAAACCCAGGACTTCTAGGCCGTGAAAAAGGAATCTTGTGGCCTAGAATCACTAAATTTCTAGGCCACCAGAATAACCAGCTTAGAGACGTTGTGGCCTAGAAACCCAATTTTTCCTACAGTAATCTCACCTCCACCCAATTATCATAAGTATCCTGTTGATATCCGTGAAACACGGCCGTACTCCTTCTGCTACGCCGTCTACCATCCGATCCTGCTCCTCCACCAGTTTCCACATTCAACTGCTCCGCATATGCTCCGCCTCCCGCTTCTGAATCATCCAAATCGTCGTAGGCATCGTCGTCGGAATCTGCGACTTCGCCGTAGTCGCGCTTCCGACGCTTCTGATTGTTTCCATGGGCGGCGGCGACGACGTCAAGTGTGAACTTTCGACGTTTCGATCGTCGGAGGCTATCGTCAGCCGATGCTGCTGCTGCTGGAGCTGAAGGCGTCACTGGAGCCGATGAAGTCGTCGGAACAGATGACATCGATTCTGAAAGAAGGGGGCGGAGTTTGGTGTGCTGTAGGAGAGGAGAGAGAAAAGCGATGAAAAAAGAGAAAAAATTCGGT